AGGGAAGGAAGCCTTTCCTGAGGCTGTTCTCCAAATACCTCAAATGTATATGTTTAAAGAGTCATCAGTCCACACTGTTAGCAATTCTTAGGGAAAAATCAATTGGGAAAGCTATGAAGGCACACGTGATATTCATAGCAGAAGACAGATGATACATAACAAGCCAAATAGCACCAAACACTCCCTGAGATTCCGCTTCCTCTGAAGCAATTCCTTGATCCCTTCAGGTAGTGGCTTTGCCATAACCAGCTGAGTTCTTATAATATATTCCTGTGGCCTGTAGCAAAGAAAGATCCTGTAGCCAAGCACAGAAGCGCACATACAGAGAGAAGTTGTGGGTAGAAAAGATTAAGAATTTCATGGTCTTGACCTAAGGAGGAAGAGGCCATGACTTCCCATGATGAAGATAATAAGAATCCAGTTGTAACTGGAAATACCAAAAGCTGTCAGCTGGATTCCATTTTCCTTTGCCTCGTAGGTTCTTGGTCTAACAATCTGCCAATGAGGCTCGTGATAGACCCAGACAGGACAAGGAAGTCCACCCGGTATGCATCTGTGCCGCTGGGCTGGGAGCACAGGGAGGATAGGAGAGTGGCAAAATATCCCATGATGTGAACTCCACAGTCCCAGTGGAGGATGACGTGAGCTGAGTCCGAAGGGCCTACGAACCTCTGTGGCAGGCCACTCAAGGCCCTTAGAAATGAAGCCGTCAGAGCAAACGGGCCTGATTTAAAACACCACCATCCTTACATGTTGCCTCCACACAGTTAGAAGCAACTTCCTGGAGGCCTTGTAATCACATATCCAGTTGCACAGTAACACACTTGATACAAGGCAGTTGATACCCTCCATTTTGGCCAGGGGTCTGGATGCCCAAACCTGCTAAGATGGTTTTTTTGTTCCTGTCCTTTCTCTTAATTTGATCTCAAGTCTCTCTGGCTGGGAAGGAACAGTAGTGGTGAAGGAAATAAATGGGAGTCTCAGCAGCCAGAGAGAAAAGGGAGGGAATTAAACTTAGTGCCATTTGGAGGCCATCATGTGGCCATTGGACAGACACACACACACACACACACACACACACACACACACACACACACACACACACCAAGAAAGGAAGGCATTGTGTGTAACCTCTATGTCCCCATCCAAAGGAGAGAACTTTGGAGAAGAGGGGGAAAAAGACATTTATTTTTTGCAGGAAGGCAGAGCACCAAAGCAAAAGGCTTACAAAGCAGAGGCAAGATGGAAAGGCAAAGTCTAGAGACTGACTCCTCCAAAAAGGAATCTCAGCCCAAAGCAACTGGCGGGAGTTCGAACCACCGACAGGTGCCAACTTGAGTCAGAAGACAGAACATGCCCCCCTGTTCTGTCCTCAGAGGAACCTCTTTAATGATAACCCATGCTGGATGCCAAATTTGTCACTTACAATCAGGATTCCATTTTATCGATCTTTAGTAATGTTAATGAAAGAATTTCTAAAAATGAATCCAGAAGGGAGCTTGAGAACTGTTTTGTAAGAGTTTGAGAGAAAACAGCTGTTATCTCATTAATGACTAAGGGTAGGGTGACGGTTAAGAGGAGGGATAGACACGTCTTTTGACTTGGCGGAAGGGGGCGGGGCACTTTAGAGAAGGAATGTGGAGAGTGTGTCCGTGAAAGCACGCTTAGGCTTTTGGCTGGGGTCCAAACAGGAGACAGAGAGAGAGAGAGAGAGGAAAAGTTCCACATTTTTAGGTAGAACTCAGGAAAGAGGACACCTTAGTAGGCTCAGAAGACCTGCAAGCAAATCTACTTTGTGAGGAGTGTCTGAGGAGGGTGTATATGTTATCTCACTATGGGGAACATTGCTCCCCTGCCCTTGTCAGTCTTTGGGTGAATCAGCTTTCCTGAGGGATGCCCTCATGGCCCGTTGATTGACAGGCCCATTTGGAGTCACTCTTAAGGGAGAGGACAACAGTATGTCTTTGTAATCTTATGTTTGGACAGATTATAATGTCATGTCTCCAGCCCAGGCTCAGATTCCATTCTTTTGAGCAGGAGGAAGCAACTTTTCTTTAGTGAGCTTCAACAAAGCTGTGATACCCACTACCTTCTCATAAGGTATTTTAAATATTAAGATGGGGCCCGTGTGGTGCTTTCTTTGCTAGTGTTACCAGGGAAACAAGAGGTAGGTCCAAGTATGATTATGAGGAAGTGGTAACATCTTCAATGGGCTCTGAGTCTGTGACTGTCTAAGTCTCTGATTATCTAGCTATCTAACAATATCCAGTACATCTTGTCTATCCACTCCATGCATAATAGACTCCTGTGCTGCCTCCAGCCCATAATACTGTAATTAATGACAAAAGGCAAATCCTCTTTCTGGATATCGTGCATCATTGAACGGTTTAATTTTGATAATATTTTGTTGTGTTTTTTCTTCTATAATACTTTCTGAATTCATCTTTATTGTTCCTTTATTCCTTTTATTTACTCACTAGTACTAATAATCCCTTCCTTTTTTGGAACTATTTTTATCTTTTGGTAATTGTCTTTAATCTGCTTGTTTTTTATAGTTACTGTGTTATTAGAGTCTGTTTTTGTGATGGCTAGGAAGACAATTTAGCTGAATTATGTCATGTTCAATATTTGTACAGTCTATACCATGACTTTTTATCCCTAATTAGACACACACAAGAAATCCAGCCCCCACATCAAAAAGACAAATGTATTTATACGAGCTTGGGTTATGAAGACAAAACGTCTATAAACAACCCAAGTGATCAACTACCAGATAAAAGTGAAGTAAACTATGGTACATTTTCCCAATGAATGGCATTTTACATGGGAAATGAACTACCTGCAACATGAGTGTATTTTAGGAATAAACGAACTATATGCAACATGAGTGTATTTTAGGAATAAACGCTGAGTGAATGTGTCAAAGCCGAGAAGACAACACAAGTTTTCTCCATTGAGCTGGCAACAGGAACAGTTAAATAACATAGCGGGTTTACCTTTGTACACACTAATGTGAACCAGCAAAGACAAGGAAACCAGGAACACGAAATTCCGGACACCTCTTCCCTCTGAGGGAAAATAAAACTAGAACTTCAGGAAGTAGCAATCAAGTAGACAGAAGATTTGTTGCTCTACTAATTGGTGGGCACTTGTGGATGCTCATTGCATTATATAAAGCTTTTATGTATAAATTATAGAAAGTGGAGGAACAGCTGATCTGGAATGTTAAGAGTGTTATGACCGATCCAAATCAAGTGTGCCTGGAAATGTTCCTTACAATAGAGAGATATCTCTCCTCTAAACAGAGAGGTAGCTCTTGCAATCCTGAGTGTGAATTCCCTGTGAATTCCTGTTATATTGTTAAGATGTCCCCTCAAAACTCATGTGGAAATTCAGGTGCAATCTTGCTAGTATCAGGAGGTGAGTATTAAGAAATACAAAGGTGGCCGGGCGGTGGTGGCACATGCCTTTAATCCCAGCACTTGGGAGGCAGAGGCAGGCAGATCTTTGTGAGTTCAAGTCTACAGAGATCCAGGAAAGGTGCACAGCTACACAGAGAAACCCTGTCTCAAAAAACAAAAAACAAACAAACAAACAAACAAATACAAAGGAGAAGGCTCTGCCCTGGGGAATGGATGGATACCCCATTCTAGTTCTGAGAGTAGACTGGTTATTTCTGGAGTGGATTACTTGTAAGTTCAAAAAGGGATTTTGTCCTTTCCACTCACTTCTCAGACACAGGTCATGTTCTTGGACATCTCAGCTTCCAGAAGAATGAGTCAAACAAAACAAAAAACAAACAAAACCCCAACCTTTCTATTGTTTATAATTTACTCTGTCCGTATTCTGTTATAGCAGTAGAAAATAGGTTAAAAGATCTGAGACATGTCACATGTCAGCTACATGTCCAAGAGGCTCTGCATTTGATCTATAGAATTCATGTAAAAAGCTGGGTATGGCAGCCTATGCTTGCAATCTGAGCAGTGGTGGACGGATCTGGTCCTTAGGATCCACTGGCCAGCCAGCTTTGCGGATCAGCAAGCCTCAGATCCCAATAAGAGACTCTATCTCAAAAATCAAGGTGGTGCTGGAGCCGTGGGTACTTCAGTGCTGGGAGCAGTTATTGCTTTCAGAGGACACGAGTTTGGTTCCTAAAGTCCACATTAGGTGGGTCACTGCCTCTAACTCCAGCTCTAAGGGATCTGGTGGCCTCTTCTGACCTCTGATGACACCCACTCACTTATAAAGACACATATGCACACGTACTCATAAAAGAAAATAATAAAAAAGAATCCTAAAAAAAGAAAACAAGGGGGATAGCTATCTTGAGGAACAACATCTGGTGCTAACATCTGGTAACAACATCCACATGCACATGTGCACACACATCCTCACACACATGTGCAGTCCCTAGTTCTGAGTGTCATCTATTTCCTTTCACTGTGACATTTCTGTGCTCAGTGATGGCCATGAGTATTTACTCACCATCTTCTGAGAGGCTAGAATTCCATCTGCCTCTTTATATACTCTACACATGGTGCATCACTTAGTGATGTTTGTGAATTGACCTGGACTGACTCACTACCAAGCTCATTATGAGGAACAAGGACGTTTCATTATGATAAACAATTATCTTTGTAAAATTTAAATATAAAAACAAAATATAATAGAATAACTCAGTATAGTTAATACACAATAAGTACTTCATAAATGACCAGGAAATAAATAGCAGTTGGGTAACCAGTGAGGATACGCTGACTGACTCTTGTAGGACTATTTCTTAATACTGGGGATGTAATGTTCCTTTTCCAGGGAACAGAAGATGACTGGCGGTCAGTTGTGACTAAATCTTTTAACGTATTTCATTGTTGCTTGGGATTTTTTTTTTTTTCATTTCAAAAATACTTGGTCTTGATTTGGACCAACTGTTTGTGAGTTTTGCGAAGCTGATTGCAGAAGTTTTGGTTGTGTGACTCGACTTTCTCATCCTGTTTTAACAGAAGTCTACATGCCTCAGGCAGCAAGATGATGACGGAGTGGGTACCGGTGCATTCCACTGAGCCTGAGGACCTGAGTTCGACCCCTCGTGCTTACGTGAGAGAGGCAGGAAACTGACTCCTACAAGCTGTCCCACAAACGGCCCCTGACACATAATAAAAGTCAAAAGTTCCTTTAAAAGTCATTTCATGCCCCTTTGATCGTCTAGGGAGAAAAAGGAGAAGTGTTCCCCTTGGATAAAGTTTCATTATTCCTATTTTCCCCCTCCTTATAAGGATGGAGTAAACTTCCTTCAATTTGGCAAGCAACATATACTCCACAATTCGCAAATAATAAGCAAAATTTGTTACATGAGCATCTGGTACTTTAAACTGGTGTGTGAGTCTCAGTTAACAATAGGGAATATTTGTATTCTGTGAAATTACAAAAAAGCTCAGTTTTGAGCAGAGCGCTAATAAATATGTACAAAAGTTTAAAGTAGCCGGGCGTTGGTGGCGCACGCCTTTAATCCCAGCACTCGGGAGGCAGAGCCAGGCGGATCTCTGTGAGTTTGAGGCCAGCCTGGGCTACCAAGTG